TTTAAAACACGAAGAAAAGGTACTTACATTTTAAACAGAAGAAAAATTGAAACTCAACGTTGTCACTTTCGGGGACCACCACTTCACTCTTCTTCTCTCTACCGTGTCCCGACCTACTCTCTCTGTCCTTTCTTTTTTTCGGTTTTACGACCCTTTGTCTACATTTCTTATTCCCCTTTTACAACTGTACGCAAATGGATTGCACATGACCGACAAAACCGAATCTGAGGGAGAACGAGGAGGTCCGATATCACTACAGTTGCGTTTGCACGTTACATTCATGCGTTGTGTTCGGTTACAACTTACAAGTGTAACACATTAAGTCAAGACATCGCGAGCGATCGACCAAAATTGGTTTTGCGATCGACCAGTTGATCGTGATTGACTTGTTGGCCACCCCTGGTCTATAGCTCAGGTAACATTCCAGCAATCTCATTCAGAGGAGTAATTTTATATTAAACAATTACTCAAGTTTTCAAGAAGCCAGAAAACATTTTTTCTGGCTTCTTCAGGACTTGACTAAACTACAATGGTCTGATAATGGAATGATTAACATTCTGAAAACTGTTATCCTTTTATTTAATAAAAAAAATATTTTCTGGTTATTAATAACTTGAATGTTTAACTAATCAATTTATCCATATGGAGCCATCATACCACTAGAATTATTATATTTAATTAAAGAAAGAAGATTAAGTCATTTCAAGGATTTGAAATACTGTAGATAATTTTTAATGCAATACCAAAACAGATACAAATTTTGGCTTATATTCATATATTCATCTGAAAGAAATAATACTACCAACAAAATTTTTTTTATACCTTTTCATTAAATTTGTTGATTCCCATAGAAAAAAAATCCCCTTAATATCAAAAATCATTTTTGAATTTTCCTATCATGTAAGGATCAAAATTATACACACATCTTTGTAAAATAATACACATACAGAATAGCATATGAATATAATGCATATATCTGAAAATCATCCTAATGGGGTTTTATTTCTTTATTTACACCATTTTGAATATTGGCAGATATATCTGAATGGGAATCTGCATTTATACATAGAATCTGGACTATGTTTTGATCATGCAGAATATCAAAAGTCTTGCACCAAAAGCAGCTGTTCTACAAGCTGACCTGCAATAACTAAACTATGACATGTATGCTGCTAAGCACTTCAAACATTAAGCACACGGAAATATTTTAAAAGTATATGTAAACTTATTTAAAAATGACGTTTGGATATTGATTTCTTCTGGTGCTCCGGTCCTGCTAACTCTCTCAAACAAGAAATCAGCAATAGTCTCCCAGCATCATTAGGCCCATGTGACTTTCATGTCTCTTTTCCATGGTTGAAATGGCTTGGTAAAACCTTTCACTATGTTTACTGTACTAAGTAAACATCTCCAAAATTTTCTCAAAAATTTTGGAGATGTTAGAGTTTCATTCTAAAAACATTCAAAAACATGTGGTGAAAGGACTAGCTCTATCTACTCTACACCCCATACTGAGAGTAATTGTAACAGAAGAATCATATTTGACCTCAACTGAACTAATCAGTTATTGTATGATTATAAAACATGATTTAAATTAACCTTTTCTAAGATAAATTAATGGATAAAATTAAATGTATATATATATATACATACATACAATCTGGAGTTAAATCCTATTTTTCCTTTCAATAAATATATGATTTATACTTGGATTTACACACAAAAATTTTTGAGATGTATCTATTTATAACAGTAACTATGTTATTGTAATACAAGAATTATTAATCTAAAATTTTTGGAAAATAGAAATTATATTGTTATTCAATCACTGATTATATGAAATTAAAGGAAATCGAATAGTATCATTATAGTTAAGTTCCATAAAATTATGGGATGTGTCTTCATGTTGTTTTTCAAGTACTTTTTAAAGACTGTATTAAGTTTTATAATTTTTCAAATTTGAAAAATTATATCAAACTTTCAAATACTGTATATCAATTAAAAAATTGTCTCATGATAGAAAATATTTTGTTATAATATGCATTAATATATTAAATAGAATGTGTTGTATTCTGTTCATTTTGTAGTATTAGGATTGAATATTTTACACAACATAATCTATGTAGAAATGTGTAAGTTCGCCGATTTTGGGGGCAATACGTTAATTGCGCGTCAGGAAAACCTAGGGTCAAACCGTATGTGGGTGGTGGCGGTAGGAGACAAAGATGACAAGTGTCTTACACGAAAACCGTTTATTTTGACGTGAAGTTAACTTACACAACAGGAATAACAAAATAAGTTCGTTGGCCGGCTGTGGTTTCGCTTCTTCTGTGCCCCGGGGCTCAATGAGGTAGCTACTGACGATCTTGCGTCCTTGATGCGAGTTCAGGTGTCCGATGATGCGGCGGTGCTCGGCGGTTATGGCGTTCTGGATGCTGGGGGTCCAGTGCACGGCTGAGACTCGGCTATCCTGACCTCTTGAGTATGTGTCCGTGTGCTGCGGGCCTGGCGTCTTGGAGAGAATCTGCCC